TATTTTACAGTGGAAAGGCTAGGGGGCCCTGTTTCCTCAGTTGAGCTTGAGTGAGGATAGGCTGAGAGAAGAACTCGTTGACAACCAGGTGACAGATAGCAAGCAACTCCCACAAGAAGACAAAATTGACCGATTCTGGGGCCTGGTAGGGAAGGATGTGAGGTTCAGTGAGCTGCCAAGGCTAATGAAGGCTTTACAGTGCATTCCCCACAGCAATGCCAGTTCTGAAAGGGTGTTTAGTATGGTGAGAAAGACTGTTTGTGCTTTACTCTCATGTAAAATCAACCACTCTGGTCCAGCCCACAAATACACTCCTTCCAAAAAAGTGCTAAAGAATGCAAAGTCTGCAACAAACCTGTACAATAAGTCCGTGAATGCTAGAGAGCCACATGAGTGAGCACGAGAAATTAAAAGAAAATGTTTAATGAAAATAAAATGTAAATGTTTCACTTAAAGACAATCTATGTATATATAAACTGAAAATATATTAAATAAATGTGCTTCAATTCTCTTTGGTGTTTTCATTTAGGTTCTATTAAAGGAACTACATATGTAAGAATGTTCACAGCATTTCATTGTCAACAAAGGTAAGCTTATCAGATTCTGATCACATAACTGTGGTTTGTAAGTGGCTGTCAGGTAGTTATTTTAGATTTCGTGTAAACATGTCTTAAAATGTAAGGGGTCCTGGCTAGTGGAACCGCTCGCGTGCCCGGCAAAAAATTTCCCTTATTTTTAAATCCAAAAGTTGACAGGTATGGTTTTAGTCCAGTGCTCTAAAACAAAAGATTCTGTAGCACAATAACATCTGCGAAGTGTGTAAATACACCGACACAGCAGGCGCTTGAAGCACACCCCGACACATTCCTCTCACTACAGGAGAATGAATCATATTAATGATCCAGAAAGTTCAAACTATATTCAGTTTCTGTGTCAAATGGAACATTTTTGTAGAAGTGCCAACTCTTTTTATTTGGGTTTATAAAATAAAATAACTCTTTCTAAAAAGCAAAATGCTACATGAACTAATATTAAACCTCTAAACTTTTGCATGACATTTTTTAGTTTAGCATTTCAGTGTTTTCTTAAATGAAAAATGTTTCTGCTACAATGCAAATTCATGTATGAGGAGCATAAACAGACTGTATTCATGTCGATAGTGTCAGGTTTGTATACCTGGAACCCAGGGAGCAGACGAAAATCCAGGAAACTTGGAGGTCAAAAGAAAAATGATTTATTCACAAAAATAAAGTGCTGTTGTGGCAGCATGAAAATATCCGGGAAGATAACTCTGGGAAATACACAGCGAGACAAAACAGACTGACTTAGTGAAGCACAATGAACCAACAGGGAGAAAGAGACAATGCAGAGAATATAGAGACCATAACGAACGTAAATGAGAAACACCTGGGGAGAGACACAACGTACAGGTGAGTGTGGGCGGGTCTGGAGCAGAGACAGACAGAACTAAACTGACATAGGGGATAAGGAAACGGTAAAAAGAAAAAAAGAAAAAAGCACAGAAAATAAAACCAAATTAAATCTCTACAGATAGTGCTAAGGTCACTGAATATGTCAGTCTGCATGGAGTCCAGCTTCATAATTTACACATTATTTTCTTGACTTTTTTAAAGCTGACTGAATTCAGGTGGCAGTAAAAAACATAGTACTTAATCAATCTTCACGTCTGTTGATGTAGGAGCTCAGAGTCAGAGTCAGCAGGTAGGACAGAATGGGCCTCATGCAAGAACATGTTCGTATTCTTCTCCTAAATTTCTCTTACTTTTGTTCGTACAAAGGGTTCGTACGAACATGTCACGTCAGATT